CTTTATGTGACTCATGACAGCACTCAGCTGTATGCCATTAAAATTTTATCATATGTTCTTCCTTTTTCACATACAACAGCATTTTTATGTTGAAACGAAAAAGTTATGGTTTCATTATCGAAATACAAAAACATGAGCCCGGCCATGTTTTCGACTTTCCTCTTATTTGCTTTTGTTGTTTCCCTTCTGCTTTTATTAAAAATAAAAGCGACCACATTCATATGCATTGATGTGAATATGAAGCATATGTGAGTCGAAAATAAATTTTGGTTGATTTTCAGTCTATTTAGTTTTAATGACGCAACCATGTCGGAATAATTTGGTATTTTCTCGGTGGAAGCACTAACATTTTATCATTAGGATCACATAAATTCTTTTTCACCAGTTTTCCCTTACATTCTCAATCGGGAATAAAGTCGCATGGGAAGTACAGCCGAAATTTGTTCACATATCATCTAATGTGAATGGAATTCTATTGAGAAGTTATTTTTTCTCGTTTCTTTTTTTTCTTCAGAGAAATGAACCCCTAATTGGTGTGAATTGGACATTTAAGATAATTCACATTCAATTGCTCAGTTTGATATTTTTTTGTTAACCTTCAAGCATATGTTTAAAGCAGTCTACCGTAATCAATGGTCAATTGAATTTGATCAAAGTAACTATTTAACGTTTCATTTAATCTGATCAAAACGAGCATTTTCACACAATTTTTCTGCAAATATCATTCTGCCGTTAGCATATCCTTGACATCGACAATGAATAATTTCCTCAAATAAACATTTTAATTCGTCAAAAAAAAATTACTCACTCCAACCGCAAAACACGGATACAATATTTCTTTCTTATGTGTATAGTCCACAAGACGTATTTTAGGTTTTCAGCTGCGTTCGAAATTCCATCATTCAAAAACACAATATAATTAATATATCATCAGCTTTTGTTAGCAGCTGTAAGTTAAAAAAAAAACACACACGTACACGTATAATGTGAAATGTGAAACGACTTCAGTGAAAAGTAGCGAACTGACACGGAAAAAAAATTGAAAAGAAGTGGCGACCAAAAGAAGAAAACAACGAAAAAAAAACAAGTAAATGTGACGAAAGAGGTGTTTTTGTTTGGATTTACACTGAAGACCTTAACGACTTTATTATCGAAATTTATAGCAACGTATGCATTGTATATGAAATTCATAATACGAATTACAAATGCATAATATTCTCTATATCTCAAAACCCATACTGAACAATGTACTTTATTCATTCTACCTTTTTTTTGCTTGTTCTATACCCGTTTTCTTACTCGCTCTCGTCTACACTATTTTCTTTTCTCTTCTACTACTGCTAGATCGCATTGTTATTCAACACAATATTTATTCGAGTTTGTTTCATATTACTTTGCAAACAAAAGTTTCTTACGTCTTTGCAACTTCTCGGTCGGTTGTTTTTATTTCAATGTTTACGATGCTTTTTCTGTGACAACAATGTTGGAAGAGAGAACGCGCGTTGATCACGCACGCAAAGAATTTGATGGCGGGCTTTTGAAATTCTTTGCATAAACGACTTGGGTTTGCATACCATCGGGGAGCAAAAATTCTATTGAATACATGAGTTCATTGTTCAATTGAATGCCTTTGAGCAGGTTTCATGTGGTGCAAAAGTGATTTTTCATTTCGTTTTGAATTTCACACACAACCTTCACTGACCGTTGACTTTCATAATTAAACTATTCGAATAGTCGAATTTTGTTTTTCTTCCTGAACTTATATTTAGATATTTAAGCCACTAACGAAGTGATTAAAAACTAAAAAAGAAATCGAAATATCAAAACAGAGCCTAATTTCCACGTATGATTTGGAAATAGCATTTTTCGGTGGTTGGACTGAGAAAATAGAAAGGTGCGATTTGTTCGAAAAGTAAAGAAAATTGCACAGCGTCTCTCTATTCACACAGATGTATTGTAATCTTGAATGTAGTCGAGAGATTATTGTTTATAACGAAGTATCAGACACCGCCATTGAATCTGCAATTACAATAAAACTGAAACCACCATACAACGAGAGGCAATAAAAAAAACGTCAGTCGTTCAACAATAACTTAATTTCACAAATACAACATCGAAAGGCGCACTAAGTACTGTAAAATTATACTTTCGATAGGCTTTTACAATCGTTAACACACAAGTAGATTGTTTTTTTAAGCTCATAATGGCGATAGAGGCATAAAATGAAAATGTTATTTGAAAACAATTAGGTTCGTTTAATAACGTATATTTGTTCACGTTTCGAGATAATTTGAAAATCGTGAAATACTCTTTTTCATGTTAGCAGTAGATCTAAAGATAAAAATACTTTGTTGATGAAAAATGCGTAAATTGAATCACCATCATCGAAAACAGAATCGGTGTTGTGCGAATGTGTAAATGTTTAAAAAAAAACATCGCGATAAAAATTGACACTGAAATGTAAACAGTCCGCGCAAAAAAACACGCAAATCAAGTGATATTGATGTGTAGATATACGTTGTGATGACACTCACGCAATCGTATTACGCATGAAATTCGTCGCTACAAAAACATTTTGAGTTTGTTTTTGAAAAAGTATCTCATATGATATTAAAATAAATATTATTGATCGAGACAGTTTGAACAACCGAAGAAAAAATACCGAAGGCAGGAAACATGAGTTTCGATTAACATCGCCTGAATTAAAAATAACCGAAAAACATGCCATCAAAAGTCTGGAAAAATAAAAATAATGCGCTCAACTTTTCAGCTGTATTTTTACTTTGTGTACATTAGTTCCATCGAACAGAGTTGGCTTGTTTCATTTTGAACTCTATCTGTATTCGTTTCAACCGAAAAAAAAACATGATTGAAGAAAGTAAGCGGAGTGCTACTAAAAAGAGAAACACGTAGGTGTGGTGGTCTGAATGTGCTCGTCGAACTCGAAACAGAAAAGATGAACAATTCGATAGCATTCCGAAACAATAAAAAAAAAAACATTTCATTTCCAAGGAGAAAAAGAAAGACTTTAGTCCACCAATGAGTATACACGGTGTTGCTATATATCTTAAAGCATTTCAAATAGCATAATTGAACGTAACTCATTCAACTACATATAATTTAATGTAAAAAAAACCTGGCAATAAAAAATGCACGTTTTTGAAAGAAAAAAAAACACATAAATTGAATGTAAATGTTGGAGGTGAAGAGGGAGAGAAAAAAAAAACTGTTGAAATATAAAGATCACATCAACACGACCATACTCAAAAAAGGGAAATTCACGCTCAACAGACTCTCCCAAAGAATTCAGAATGTATGCAAACGTTCAAGAGTTCCACTCGGTCGATTTTAAACGTTTTAAACGTTTTTTTTTTTTTGAATTGCCAAGTATTTTTGATTTCAATAGCACAGAGGGATTTGAAACAAAATAACTAACACAACGAGACTGTTTGCTTTTTGCTTATTTTATTTAATTTATATTATCCTTTCCGCTGTCTCTTTAACAGTCTTTCCCATGCATTCTTTCGTCCTGTTCAAAATGTCTGTTGGTTCGAATATTAACCAATTAAATCATGTGTTTGGGTGAACACAAAAGTTTTTTTATATAAAAAAACACAAACGCTCAGGAACAATAAAGTCGGAAGTTTATCATAAACTGAATAGTGAATACATTGAGCGGGCAGTTCAATCATATTTTACGCTGTGTGTTTAACATGATTCAGTGTGAAAAATTGTTGAAATTACGTGTGTTTGAAATAGATTAAGACATACATCATAAGATTTAGATAACTGTACGTATTCAATGTGAATAGTTTTATGTTTTGAAATGTTTTCATGCCCGAAATGGTATTGCGGTTGATAAGCCATTTTGATAGCGGAATGACTACACACAATATAAATGAGAATTTCATCCTTACGCGCAATACAGCACATTTCTTTTGAAATTCATTTTTGCACTTTACATAAAACAATTGTAATATTTCAATAGTACTAATCAATTTCGTGAGATTATGATACTATTTCTCATTTGATTTTGTCCGAAAGCACGTATACAATAACGAATGGGTTTTTAAGTTTATTTCTTGAAAACGTTTGAAAATGGATTTTATGCTGGCAGTGCAGTGCATGCAGGGTGAGTTTGAGAGGTTTATTAACAACTTTTATGTCATCCCATGTTCATGTAGCATATAAAACTACTTCATACATGTAGGGTGCTGCTGCATATACAATTTTCAATGGATTTATCGTATGTCAAGCATATTGAACAATGCAATGACGGCCATTTTCTGATATATTATGGTGATTGATGTATACATGTCTGGTTTCGGTTCAATAAATGGCAAAGACCATCCGTTGAACCACGCGAAAGCATATCGAAGGGTATAGCTAAAAGAGCCGTTGAACGAAACACAGAGACAAACACAAAAATTGAAAGCACTTTATATGAGTGTGCGTCATGAAATATGGGAAATTATTTAAACATCTGGCTATAGTATACCATGGGATAATTAAAATTAATAAAGTTTTGTCGTGTCTTCCACATCATTTCTCTCTTTCGCATTAATCAAAATGCGTTTATAAAGTTGCTCGTCTCTCGTTGTTTTACTGGTTCTCTTGTTTTAATTCTGAATTTAATTTTCTCTCATTCTCGACTTCATTTATTTATGTCTACTTTTAATGTTATACAAACTCGTCGCAAGTAAGAGCTGCCTTACGACCGTCTCATTCGATTTCGAAAAGAACAACAAACGATATTTTGTTTGTTACCTAAAATGGCTTCATCGACGCCATTTTTTATTTCCAATACTTTTTTGATGATAGAAAAAAAAAACAAGTTATCTAACGTCGCTCTCTACGACGATATTTTAGACGATGTTTTCAAAAGTAGAAAAAGAAGAAGAAGAAGACGAAGCATTTGCCACCAAATCGTTCGATCAAAATGAAATAAAACGGTAGTTCAAAGAAAAAAAAATATATTTAGCAATAAATTGAAAACATACCTTGTTATTGTTGCCGAATCCATCCCATTGTACTTGTTGCATATATTGTTGATGTTGTGTCGATGGATGATGATTATGATTGGCATTCATAGCCTGTCGATGGTATTGAAAAGCTTGTGGATGTGGTTGCGGATGCATTTGGTAGTTTTGGGGTGATAGTTGATGATTTTGAGGAACATAGTTCATGCGTCTTGGATCCGGTACCATATCTTGCATCGGTACTGGTTTCGTTGGTGAATTCGATGGTGATAACGATGTGGAATGGCGCTGTTCGAAACTGGCTAGATCTGGACGTCCAACGCGATCCATTATGAATTCGTCACCACTTGAACCGGTTGAATCTAAATCAGATGATGGACTTGCACGGCTCTGCGAATCGTATAAAACGCAAATTGAACCATTTTCACCGATGCGATAGGCCACCTCTTCTGGATCAATCCACAGCGTTAGTTCAGCTGGCAACATTTTTCGCAGGTTATTCGGTGAAATGCCGACCGCCATTCCGGCTTGTGCAATCAATGGATCGATTTTGCCATTGATTCGAATGCAACGGTAGCCTGAACCTTTTATTGGAACATCTGGATACCAATGACTGCGATAGTGTAACACTAACAAACTTTCCAATGACCCTTTGAAATTTTGCAATTGATCGTTATCGGGCAATGGTTCGACCTTTTTTAGCCGCAATAAATTCATAAGAAAATCGGCTGCCGAATTTACTTCTAGTTTCATGATTTACGCAATATTCTTTTCACGCTGCACGTTCTAGTTAATGTCATAAACAATGCAATGATTTCCAGTTGTGTACAAACAGAGTTGACTATTTGCTGCAAGATGTTCTCTCTCGGTTTTGTGTTGCTTCCGCTTTGTGTCTATCGCTTTATCTCTCTCTCTCAAACTGAGCGTTTTTTTCTTTCGATTTTCGTCTTTAACACACGGTGATTAAATATCGTTTTTTTTTTCGTTTAAAATTATGCTTTCCACGAATTTACGGATGAATTAAAGGCTGCGTTCTGTGAATGTTTTTTTGTTGTTTATTCTTTGCTTGGCTCTATGTTTAATACTCGTTTGTTCGTTTTTTTTTTCTTTTTGGAATTTTTTAATTGAAGAATCTTGTTGGTTTCCGTGGTTTTACTATTTTTTTGTAGTTATTATGTTGTGAAGTTACAATTTTATCGTGTTTTTTTTAGTTTATTTGCTTGTCTGAAGTTGAATTGGTTAAAATATCATCACAGAAATACAATGTCTTCATGTTTTGCTTGGGAATTTGTATACTTTTTTTATATTATGTGTTGCTGTTGTAGATTTTTTAAAAATAAATTTGTACTATATTTTTCCACAAATGTTATTTATTTTCTTGGATCACTTTGATATTTTTTGATGTAAAGAGTACGAAGAGAACGGTTTTTTTTAGATGAAATGTTACCAGAACGAACACATAAAATGTGGAAAGTAGAAAAAAATCGATAGAATATGAGACTATTTATCGATTTTCAGGTTTGTTTAGGTTCAATTTTGTCTTAGCAAAATATCACTTTGGAAAAAAATAAAAAATTTCGTTTTTTCGACAATTTTTTTTTTTCACTTAGACAGCTCAATGTATATTTGTTGTTCCTGGATGTTTTTGCTTCGATTATTTTTCTTCTTTTGGTTATAACATTCGTACACGCGAACACAATATTAATATTTGTATTACGTTCCGTATTCCTATTTTCTTTGTTCTTGCGAGAAAAAAAGGTTTTTTTCTTTCGATTTTTAACCAATTCACGTAAAATTTTCAAAACACTTGTTCTTTTATTTCGAAAACACTATTTATTTAATGTTTGAAGCTGGCGAAGCTTGAAAACAAAAAAAAAATGCGTTTGCAGCTACTTATATTGAGTTGAACAGATGTGACGAAAAATCAATTTTTTTTTCGTGGTAATCTGGAAATTGGTTAAATTTTTATGGAAATTCACTGAAAAATCACATTCAAATGAAATCAGATGAAATTTTGAACTGAATTTTGTTTCTCAAATAGAACTGTGAGGTGTTCAGTGTTGATTTTTATTCACTTTTTGTCGATTTATTTAAAATGAAGAAGTTCTCTTTATATAAAAATGAAAACCAATATGGCCGCTCAAATTTTGCTGCTGCTATTGCTGTTGCTGCGACTACTCAGGGCGTATGAATTGTATGTTATACGAGCTCGGGATATGGAGTAGAAACACAGTGATGTTGAAAAACGAAATAAAACGAACGTTGAATTTTTATATGAGAAATAATATAATGTGTGTTATTTCTTTGCACTGTGTGGAGAGGCTGCTTTAGCTAGCTACTATCCAGTCGACTCATCATCACAAAATGAATACGGTGGCCGAATCGTTGTATCAACGAAGTGTTAGTCTATGGAAATGAAATTGGCGTTGCGGTCGCATCGAATCGGCTTTGCACAACACAAACGCACACAGAGCAAAACACACACACAATATATCGAACCATTCGCAACGTCACCTGTATAAAATCGATGGCATTGTATTTGTGTGCGTTTGTGTGCACGTACAAAGAGCGCTATTCAGAATTGGTACACGTATTTGCTTTCTTTCTCAGTGTATGCGTGTGTATGTCTCTTGAAATAGAGTGTGTACTACGTCTGTGTATGCGACGCTACAAGCCATAGGGTGTCAGCAAATGTTATATACAAATATGTTTTTTACAATTTTTTGTATAAATACTTGCAAAAAATTCAATTAAAAATATTTTAAATCATTTTCAATTTGATTTTTATCTTTATTTTCTATTTTCAAATTGTAAAATAATTTTGAATGGAATGCAAAACATCCTGTAGAACAAATGGATCTCTCTGAGCAAGGCAACCAACAAGCATATACACTCTTATACTGAATACATTGACGTGTAATACGAACGCTTGGTGAGAAAACGGTTACTGTGATTATGATGACAATGATTTTAGTTAGCAAACACAACCAGTAACAAAACGTATTGCGAAGAAGACGACGAAGAGGAACAGTAGATAGAAAAGAGAATGAGAAAAAAAAACAACAAATTATGCTGACATCGAATTCGTGCATTCGCTTACAAATACAATTGCAATTGGTTTGTGTGAGGGCCATAATGGTGACTCAGCATTCAAGTCTGTCTTATAGCAGCTGTAAATCAAAACACACATATGCTGCAAACGGTTTTCGACCACTTTTTCGTCGAATAACCAAAACATTTACGATGCGTTCGAATGCAATTGTATGCACTTTGTATATATGCGTTATGGCTAGGTATACCGATTTAACGTTTTGGCATCAAGCCATTAAAAAATAAACCATTTTCTAGATGTTCGTTTCTGATGATACCACTAAATAACGTAAACAAGTAAACGAGATTTTTCAACAAAGAAACAAAATATCGGAAAAAATGTACTATTACAAAATGCATTTGCCGCTCGCACAAACATCCCCATTGAAGTGATATTTGCCATTTTCTGTACTATAATCTTTTCTATAATCTATATGAATAGAGACAGAGTTGTATATATGCTATTTGAATGCAAACGAGCGAGTAAAAAGTCGTGGCCATATATTTATAAATAAAAAAACCATGTCTACGTCATTAATGAGCGAGACATAGATGCACATATGTTTGTTTGGTCGGCTTACGTTTGTTTTGAACGTTCAAAATCGAACTAAGCAAGAATAAAAGAGTTTTTTTTTGTTATTCTTTGTGCCCATCAGGTAAAAGACTGCTTTTATTAGTGCCAATTTTACCGAACAGCTTAAACTAGACGATTATCGGTAAATGTGCATAGTTTCTTTTGTGTTTTCAACAAGTTTATTATTGATTGAGACTTTGAGTTTTGAGTTCGAGTCGCATGGGACGTCTGCTCATAAAACTCTGCTGAGTTTCATTATAACCGAAATAATGCATGTAGAGAATATTTTACATATTGGCCGTAAAATGAACACTTCTTTAATTAAATTGATTTCAGTGAATTGCGTTGATTTCACAATAAAATCACGATAAGATCACAACAATAAATGTAATCATCTTTATTTTTTTCTATACATTTGGTATGCAGTTGCCAGTTGGTAGTTCGTACCCGATCATACATGAAGTATAAGTATGTGTTTCTTTATCAGCTTTGAACTCGATGGCAATAACATTTGAGCTCTTTACAACACAAAACACGTACGTTGCTCGTTTTCGATCGTTTGATGATGATTATTGTTATTATGATTGATATTGCTCGACACATTATAATCGACACAAACGATATAGTCTTGGTTCAGCGCATATGCATCAATATACAAACTTATAAATTATTATACGTATAATCCATTTTCCGATGAACAGAGTATTACCATTCAATTTGAAATGGACAGTGAAGACGATGAAGAAAATAATCAAACAAATAATACTATGGTTATTTCATATCAGCCACTAACCATTCATTTGTCTACTTATTTGCATTTTTCATTTTCGATTGATAGAACTTATCAACTTTCTTTCCAAAAAAAAACATTTATATTATGGAACAATCGCTTGCAAACAATCGATTTCAAAATCGTTCTCATTATAATCATATTTCCGACAAAATATATACATTTTGAGTATTGAATATTGATTTTATTTAAAATCTTTTTTTTTTTCTAGACACTAGTAAAATTGAAATTCAAGGAATAAAACTTTCAAGTGATAGTATATTGAATATATATATATTGATATTCAACGATGTTGGCATTTGTGTGTTTTAAAATATTGAAATCGACGAGATGAGGATTTGAATTTGGTTAGGATTTTATCTGTGAGGTTGGCCACAACCGGGTTTACAATGGAAAAATTTGTCGAAATCAAGTAATCATAGCGATTTGTGTGCAGAGATTTTGTGCGTTGGTGCATGTCAACAACAAAAAATACATCATTTCAAAATAATGATTGACGGTTGTCTAAACGTGCACAACCAACCAGAGAGCCTTAATAAAGAGTATTTTCTTTCATTCAGTATCCTGTTGTCAACAATGTGAAAATAAACAAAAACACACATACATGCATCGAGACAACCATGAAAAATGATCGAAATGAATTTCCGTTGACACAACAAAGATTATATACTTTACGTTTGCGTTCATCAGATTAAAGACGGCATAAAAAGGAGTCGATCTTTCAGTGATTTTATTTATTGGGCTCGGTGACGCACATTATGAAAGAAAAACGCTGTGTGCTTAGTATCTTCATTTTTGGAAACAGGTGAAGCCAAGCGAAAATTTTCACGTCATTGTACCTTGTCTTAAACAGAGAGTGTGTTTGGCAAACGAAACGTAAAAAAAACGACGACGATGAAAAACACGCACAAGTATTTTTTCTTTGTTTTTGTTGGCTTGGGATTGAATCTCATATTTTTATGCACATGCATATATGTGAAATGTTATCCATTGGAAACAAAATATCACCACTTGGAAGAAATTTAAAAAAAAACGTACAAAACATTATGAGAGCGGATGTACGCATACACCAAAAAAAAATATCGTCTCAAATGACTAAAAATATATTACATACGTTTTTTGTATGATGGGAGAGAGTATGTGTAAAATATATTCAGTATTTTTTTTTTTTTCAAATTTAGCTGCATAGTTAACAGAATTTCAAGGATACAAGACCGTACTATAGAAGAAGATATCCGAACCTTAAAAATATGCTCGTGTGTGGGATGGATGATGTGTAATTTTCATTTGATAAGCGCGAACGAACAATAATGAAAGAATGAAAAGGACGCTCAATAAAAAAATACCGGATTGCTTACACAAGTGTGTTTGTTGTCTCGTTTATTTTCAACGTCATTGGGATGAGTTGAAGTGAACCCGGCGAGCTTATTACGATTTTTATCCGTAAATGGAAGTCACTTACAGTTACTTCAGGGTTTTTTGTGCCATTGCACATGTTGTAAATGTGTTGTTAAGTGATAAAGCCAACCATGGGAAACAAATTGTATGATAAAAAATGAATTGTAAAACCGAACCAATGCTACCCATTCGGTACGTAAAATTTCATTTTACAAGACTCACTCTCATTATCTATCAATCTCTTACAGTAGTTTCAAGGACATTTTGAAATAATTAGAAAAAAAAATACAACACTCTTTAAACCCCTAATGAATTACAGTCCACTTATTGAACTTATGAACCAATGAAATACAGAAAAAAAACTTACGTCAGAAGCAACCAGTTTTTTTGACAATGAATCATTTGAAACTCATGTCAATTTTCAATGCAATCGGATCATTGAACTGTGCTATTGAGCGATGTAAGCCGATAAAATAAATAATATACACTATTCGCAATTAACTATAATTAAATTTATCGTTAATTATAGTTCGAAATGATTTTACGTAGATACGCTCATATGGACATTTTTTCAAAAGTTCCATACATTTTTGTTTTCAACCAAAATTAGCAATCGACATTCATTTATTTACCTATGCAACTAGAAAAGTTCTAGTAAATGACATACACATTTTATAAATAGACATTTGTTTTGGAGTTTACGTACCAATTATCACACCCGCATAGATTTTTATTATTGTTCTCACGAAGTCACTTTAATAACGATAAATATTCCATCAAAATCCAAAGAAAAAAAAACTGCTGAGCTAATTTATAACATGTTTACATTTAATCATACAAACATTAGATAAAAATATCGTACACAAATTACTCATAGTACTAAAAGTTTGACAGTTGTCGCTTGCACGTTGTGCCAAACAGCTGACATTTTTCACGGTCGTGAACCGTGAGCATTCTAAATTGAAGACTAGTTCGGAAAAATGACAACAGATGTCCTTGAGTGCTCTCGAACAGACGGCAGTAAATATTATTCGAATGTATTAAATAGAATAATAAATCGTTGGATCGACCAAAATTTAGACTATTAGATTCAGTTTGTCTTCTGCTTGCGTCTCTGCATCGATCGCATCCAATTCTTTTTTAAACATTTTCTCAATAATAACGGCAGCAAAACAATTTCCAATTACATTACTCGTCGTTCTCAGCCGATCCCTATTTATTTGAAATGATAGATTTTCCTTTAAAATGCTAAGGTGCTATAAGAAAAATAAACTTACAAAATCCAATCAATGGCAAATAAAAGCGAAACATTTTGTGGATCGACATCGACTGCAGTGAGAACAACCAGTAATACTAGCAATGCTCCACCTGGAATTGATGGCATTGACATTGAACAAGCGGTGACTACAATCAGTATCATTGCAATCGATGAAAAGTCCATTGTGACTCCAGTCATACGCGCAATGAAAATCGTTGAAACGGCAAGAAAGAAGGCAGTTCCGTTGTTGTTGAGTGTAACACCGAGTGATAGAACAAACTTTGAAATTCGTTCATCGCTTTTTACTTTGTTTATCATACATTGTGTTGCAACTGGCAATGCGATGGCTCTAAAAATCGTGGGAAAAAATGAAAAAAATTCAGAATCAAAAGAAACTATTCGAGTTCAGTGTGTGCTTACGATGAGCTTACTCCAAAGGCTGTGATCCACGGCTCGGCCAAATTAGAATAGAACGAAAATGGATTCTTTCGTATGTATACCCAACGGACAAATATGTAACGTTTTTAGGACATTTTAACGTTAAAAAATGTAACGCTTTGGCCCGGTTTAGTGGTCATTTCCGTGTCAAATGGAACGTAGATTTTGTGTGTAGTTTCCAGTATATTTACAACTTCCAATGGAATGATTCGTTCCACTTGTTTACTACCATACAAAAACATACTCTGACCGTATAATATGATCGCCACCCAATATGTGTATTGTACGTTAAGTTTTTGTATTTCAAATTTAATGATTTATTTACCACAAGAAAATCCATTCTCTGCAAACGAATTAGATTTGAGTGATTTGATTTAATTTTCTGCAAAAGAATTTTTTTTAAACGGCAATCAGCATTTATTTTTTTAAATGAACGTATATGAATTTCGAATTTCGAAATCTGAAAGACATTCGAATTGAATTTGACAGTTGCCGTTCAACCATCGTCACTTTGAAAAAAGATGCAAACATCATAATTTTGTTTACATTTTAAAATGTGCTTTGTTTTGAGAATGCATAGTGGATTTTTAGTTCAAACAAACAGAATTCTTTCTTCTAATTTCAACGTAGATATTGTGAATTTGCAAAGAATAGATTTATTTACGGTGAATTTTGTGCTTGTTCCTGTTTTGTTTTTAAAATAACAGAACATTTCCAAAGTCACACAGTAAGAAATCAAAGCGGCATTACAGTGTATTTTGTATCGAATTGATAGGAAGTTCATTTTATTTGTGTGGAAGTGCATTCTTCATTTTATATGTCTTTGTTGTGTGAATTTGACTGTGTATTAACTTCAAATTTGATGCCATTGGATTTTTGACTGTCGAATATTGCGAATCGAATTCAGTTTAGCGAAAAATCCTCACAAGGCAAGTAGATTTAAACTGTTTGGCCATTCAATCATTGTTATTGTTGTACTCTCTATTGTGTGTTTTGTGCTTTGAAATTGCGATTTGACGTTGTGTGTAGCCTTCAATTGTTTATATAATTATTTAACGCATTTTTTCTTTCTTTTTTCCGTTTTTTTTTTTAAATTTTGAAATAGACTGCAAAATGGGTCGTCACAAGAAGGCTGATCCAAACGCCGACCAAAGGTGTATAAAGCAAGGACTGCCATCAATTATCCGTGAACGATATCGGGATGTAATTGTCGCAATCATTTCGTACTTATCGGTGAAGGCTACGAAGATCGCATGCCTTGCATCGTTACTATTTTTGATGAAGGTAAGTACACACATTTCTTTGACCAAATTTTATTTTTCGTCATTATTTCATCATTTTTTCGGCACTATGCGATCCATTGTATTTATATGAATCGATTTGATTGTTTGTCTCTCTCTCTCTCTATGTGTTCTGTGTTTCTTGAATAGGTCAATGAAGCACTCGACGATTTCAACTATGATTTTTTTGAAACCGATGAACCATCAACGATCATACACAACTGTTTTAAGGCCGTTCTTGTCGATAACATTAGTAACATATCGCTTATGTTACCTGGTTTCCGCAACATTGTCGACGCTGCACACATTGACTGGCCCACAAACGGTGGGTTCGGGAACGGTTTTAAATATATATGGGAGCAGTACTACGACAATGTCAAAACGAACCTGACAACGCATTGCGAGTCTCGATTGCGGAAGTTTTTTAAAATGAGAGCATTCGAACTCAACGACTACGCCATCAAGTACAATTATTTCAACAATTTGTACGGTATGATCGAATTCGAATTGCCATACTACGACGAGGAAGATATAAAAAATGCCATCAATTATACTTATCGTCGTCGAAACACCGCAATTGGCGACGTTGAACGTGAGATGCGATTGGGTGAACTATTGGATGAATTGCGTTGGTTGGGAGCACCGGACGATTGCAATATCCGTGACTTTGTGAAAGAGGATTGGTTCAAGTCGATTCGCATGTGGTCGGAAATTCAGCGCGATATTCGGAACTTTCACTTTGCATACGAAGATCGTCGCGATAAACCGCAAATAAAAAACTTTGTCGTTGTGCCGATGTGCACTTTTCAGCGTCGACACATTCGAATTGACACCGACGCATTGTACGTTATCCTATCGAATGCGAAATTGGTGCCTCGAAAGTGCGGTAAACGGACACGTAAAGACGGAACAACAAATTTCAAAAACATCACGAGCAACGAATTCCGCACAAATAAAATCCTAAGTTGGAATTTATTCTTCGATGTGGAGAAAATTCTCAAACTTGTGCACAACAAAAAGGAATTCGATTCTCAAATTTGTTCCGATGGCGTATCTGTATCGTTGATGTACAAAAAACCGAAAGTACCACCAGTCGAGACAACAGATGACGAAATCAAGGCAATGTATGACAGCAATGAGTTGAAATATGCTGTTGGATGTGATCCGGGTATGCGAACGTGGAACGCTTCCGTACGACGAGATTTGCATACCAAAGAAGAGGTAAATTTGTCATTTAATAATGAATGAAAGCGATTGTGATTGTGAATACAATGTTGTTTTTGTTGTTTTCATTTTGTTAGGTGAATTTGCGTATATCCAGCAAGCGATATCACTGGGATGCGAAACAAGGCCGACGTAATGCAAAAGCCGAACGAATCACAAGATTGTTTACTTTCGAAGAGCAAGCCGATCGTAATCGAATTGCAGCTATGATTGGTGAAATGCCATCGCCAAAAGGACCATCATGGCGTTCGTACATTGAACATCGATTACGTGTAATGAATGATGGCATTGAAACATACTCAACCAAACAGTATGCACGCTTGGGACTGGACAAGCATATCGAATCGGTTCGTGCAATCGACAAAACGGCATGCAAAATGGTTCACAATCAACCATCAATTTTCTACATGGGAGCCAGCGGATCAACACCAGCTAATTCGCCGATTAAGATCAAGAAACATGTGCGATGTCCAGGCACACGGAAGCTGCTTGCGGCCATTATGAAACGTGGCAATTGCATCATTCGAATGGTCGATGAGTACATGACATCACAACATTGTCCATTGTGCTTCAAACGATTTCCAGTAGCAACTCGAAGCCATCGGTATAAGGTATGTGTTGGTTGTGTACCGAATCCAATTGTTGGACTACCACGAACCATCGTAACCAATGTGAGCAAACGATTACTACAAATGCGACGAACAATTGAACGAATGTGGCGCGAGATGCGTGATATAGGCGATGTCATTGCTGCAACTCTTCGAGATGGACCGAATGCAGGTCGTTTGGTGTCAAAGAAGCAACGCTTCTTCAAAACATGGCTACCAAATGTTGCAAACGTTGAAATCGAGGGAGCTGCCGGAGCACAACCAACGCTCACAACTGTATGGCACCGTGATATCGCAGCAGCGAAGCTGATCCTCTACAAAGGTATGCAATCAATTGAAAATGATACAAATTTTGAAGCAATTGTTATACATGTAATGTGTTTTTGTTATGTATCATTCGGTAGGTGAATGCGTGGTGTTCAAGCGGACAATTCATCCAAATGTACGGAGACCACGCCGTGTTGACAACAATCAGCCATTGCCGTTGTATCGAGGTCAGAATCAGAATGTCAACAATGGACATCTGCAGCCGCAGTAGTAGCAGCCCTCATTCAACAACATTCAAACAATACTAAATTTAGAAATTAGTTTATAACAATTATTTGTTAGTTCGCTAGGCTTGATTAAATTGTGGCCTTGCCAAAGTACGAGTACCTCTTGGTATAAATTGTACTCGGTAAGTGGAGTCTATTGCATATACAATAGCATAATGATGATTATGAATCAAGTCAATTTCTTCATATCAGTCTAATTGAATTGTGCTTTCTTTTCTTTTTTTCTTTCCATTGCGACGGTAAAATTGACTGAAACTACACATGAATGCTACCCCAAATTCGACCGTAAACTTGGGCCTGGTAATGGGTGATTTGCGCTAACAATTGTTCCTTGGGTATGAAGTATATGGTTGGTAACATAACGAGCTGATGAAATGCCAAACCAACCAGAACACAACATACAAATACAGCCAATTGTGAAAGAATCTCTTGCAAATTGCCAATGCTGAGCAATTTCCCGGTGATTATACTACACATTCCAACACCATTGAGCCACATTATATAGGTTGTTAGTTTCATCAGAATTTCAAAAACACCTTCGAAAAAATCTTTAATCACTTTGCCTTTGTTTCCGATGGTATTCAAAACCGAACCGAATAAAATACAAAATGTAACTAAGCCCAATGTTGATGGGCCTGCTCTATATGCCAAATCACGTGCAACAGTGATTCCATTTGTGGAGTTTGTCGTTGTATACACTGTAAAGAGAAAGCGAAAGATTATATTTTAAATAAATTGATTCAAAGAGAGAGAGAGAGAGATTTTCGTATTTTATCTCTACCTGTATGCACTTGTTGGAAAAACGATTGAAACAAATTGTCTGGAAAGAAATTCCTGTACGAAAAGGAGGAACTTTTTTTAGATAAAAGAAAAAAACCAGAAGAATTTCTAATAATAATACAAACCTGCCCAGATCCAAAATACTGTCAATAAACTTCATTCTGGGAGCGTTGACCTCTTGTGTCGATTGCATTATTTCACCCGGTTGAAATAGAAGCGCTATTAAAATAGCTATTGAAGCAGAAATTAGAGACGTTGTTGCAAAATATGTGACCGTTTTCAATGTCATTCTTCCGCTAACTTTGGGATTTATACTGGCTGATACAGTAATTAAACATGATAGAAGCAATGGCAATGTTAAAAACTTCAAAATCCGCAAAAACAATTCCCCAGGGTACGAAATTATGAGAATTGCATCTTCTGAAAATGGCACTGAACGCAAACTGGTTCCTGTGAAAATAATACAGTTTTTCGAATTAACAAATGCAAATTGTTGGTTTTTTTCTTTGTTTTCTTAAATTCCACAAACAAAATCCTTTAAAAAATTATTATTTTGTGGCACTTTTGAACATTGATGATTGTTTCATACAAATATTTAGTATTTTAAAGTGATTTTTGATTTTAAAGTGATTTGACAAACCCAAAACAGTCCCCAAAATGACTCCCGTTAATGTTGTGATTGTAAGAAGATGCTTTTCCAGTAATTCTTTGAACTTTCTCGACTTCCTACACTCACAATTTCTTTGTGTTTCTGGTTCACAATAAATAGGTTGACCCGTATCGACGGTAGTGAATGTATAATACTGTCGCTCGCTCATTTAACAAATTCCGATGAGATCGTTGAAAGTCAATACTTTGCCAGATAATTGTTATTTTGTAAATGCAATCCAATCGGTGTTGATCTCGTGAACTGACTAAATCACATAATTTACAAGGAAAAAGCTTGTGATAACTGTTTGTTGCGTCTAGGAGAAGTGCTGTTCAAAAGTTTTGACAAGACCACACACGGGCTGCTCCGGATCAATTTGGAAACAATCTATCACCACAGTTTGAACCGTTGTGTACTGTCTCTACAATAGTTGAAGACAGCAAATTTATATAAAAAATTTCACGACGTTTTTTCAAGCAAACACAAAGCTCCCGTATTGGCCAATATGTAAATTGCGATTTGTTGCCAGAACTCAGTGATCGTGCGCTTATCAGTCAGACATTAAATTGAATATAAATCATTATCGCTTTTCGCCTAGGATTCAATTCAAACGTGCCTTTATTGGAAATCATGTCACTTGCGAATGATTAATTATGACAAATTGTTAGAGAAAAGGCGATTTTTTTTATCCAATTAAGCATTGTCAAATCACAGTTTTTCAATTCAAAGTGCGTAGTTGATCTTTTGTATTCGTTTTTATTTCAATTTTATTTCAATGAAATAATTTGTCAACATGCAATTAGAAATAAAAATGATCTCCGTCGAATTTTTAGACGCCAGATAACGAATGAATGTGAAAAGGGTGACTTATGAACAGTGCTCATGCACTATGTACGATGACGTTTGTTCATTCTTTGTTCCAAGGTTTTGCTTATCTCTTAAAATTGCTGCAGAGATTTATATTTTTATTTTTTTATTCAAAAGATAAATTCCTTTTTAAACTCATTCCATTTTGTTCCTGACAACCAGAAATTATTTCCAACGCTTGCTAAATAACCTTTCGTTGTCATTGCATTCCAGAATATTACCCTGAACACATTCAGTTTTTTTTCAAATGATTATTTTATAGTAAATAATCAAAAAGTTACTAACTTATGATCCTTGCACATACGACAGCATTTTCAATAGAGCGGGTATATTTTTTCACATTCTTTCCTTTGCATTTTATTTCCGTTTTTATCATTTTTATTGGTCATTTGCTTGGCCGCATTTATACACATTCCGCTTCTGTTCTTCAAAATGAATCTAGAAACATCGTTCACTTAACACTTGGAAAAATCTGCACATTCAAATTAAATGAAAAACAGAAAATTACTTACGATTACTGGTTCGATGCGGTCTACACGACTTGTAAAGTGATAATAACACATATCAGAGCCTGAAATGAAATCAATATCCCGATTAGTAACTCTTAAAATCACATCAATGAAATTATCATATGGAATTATATTGAGTTAATTGTATGATGTAACAGTCTACGAAATTATTCAATATAAATGTCCCCTCTAAAAGTAAATTGAATGAAGTTTTTGAGTACCCCCTTCGAACAAATATCAAATGACCGTTCTCAGAGATTATCATTAATCAATACTACGCGACATTATCGATTTTCTAATCTAAATTAATCTCTTTTTATATTTTGATGAAGTAATTTTCCAGGGACATTTTCTATATCCATTTTATTGCCACAATTAGAAAGTCACCTGACTTTACTCTTGCTTACGTCAATGGCAAGCCAAAAATTGAAATTCCATCTGCATGTTTTGCAAATTGTCTGATGACTACTAACAACGGTAGTTCAATATATGATAACGTATAAATAAAGAAGTGCAACTTCAAATTTATCAAAATTCTTATCATATGATGTCGTAAATAAAGGAAGTCTCATCTGATTTTGGTCGTCAACTCAAATGACTGGCTCCACTTGAATCGTTCTTCGTTATAATCTCATGGTGTCACAGACAAAACAATGAAAAATATATACATTGTTAGATGATTTTGTAATTTTTGTAATAATTTTGATCTTGTTATCAGTTGTTATTTCAAATCCGCATTTATTTAGTAGATCGGTAATAAATATTGCCAAAAAACACATCGAGGAAATTGTATTGGATCTATACTATAGACCTAGATTAAGACACACTCAAATGGAATTTGAATACTGACATTAAGATTGTAAATCACTTCAAGAGATTAAACCAAAGGGTTTTTATCTTGAAAGTCTTTGAAGTGGCTCCTAATGAATGTGAACATGAAGACACATTTCTTAATCTGCAGTTCAGTCTATAGAAAATCGGTTGTGTCGCTTTAAACAGATCATAATAATTTCAAAACAATGTCGGGAGTTTTGAAGCAATTTCTAGCAACCATTACATGTACTCTTTTCTTTTTTTTTAAATTTTTTGTTAAAGAGAAATCGAATTTGTGTTTTTTTAAATTAATTTAAAATGTGAAAAGTAAAACTATTTTTTTTTCCAATTTTTTTTTTATGAAAGGTAATTTACTCGCTTTTGCGTACGGTAGTGTGTGTACATGGGCTTCAGCAAATTCAGCGACATTGGAATCAGATGAAAAAACTCCATTACCATCGGGAAAATTAGATATATCAGAAATCTCTTTAGTTACCAGCATTCCCTGTTTTGGAGCGATATTTGCGACTTTGATTTATTCCTTATCTATTGACCGATTTAGCCGAAAACTTCTCTTGGTTTCCATCGCCATTCCTCAAATTGTAATAAACGTTTTTCATTTTAAATGTATGACAAAATTCATTCTATTCAATGTCATTTTTCAGTTGTCATGGCTGATAATATTGTTTGCGGCAAATGCATATCATTTGGTAAGTACAGTCGGTTATTTGCTTTTTTATAATTTACGTAGATTGTGCTTTTTAAAATTTTAGTATGTGGCGCGATTCATATGTGGCTACGCTGGCGGCGCATCTCTTGTTGTGATTCCGATTTTTGTTTCCGAAATCGCCGAGGATAAGTAAGATAATTTTAATACACTTTTTTCAACGAATGAAATGTTTATCTTTCGGTTTACTTGAAGAGTGAGAGGCACCTTGGCTTCAATGCTGATTTTATCTTGTAATGCCGGTTGTTTGTTTGGTTTCGTTGTTCCAATCTATTTTAATTACATTGAACAAATCAAAATCAATATGATGTTGCCGACGTTGTTTTTGGTATTATTTTACTTCTTCCCTGAAACACCAGAATACCTATTGAAGCGTAACCAAAAGACTGTATGTTCCAATTTGAGCCGAGAAAATTTGCAATTGAATAAAATTTGACTTACCCTTTATTCACATCACTGATTTTAGTTGGCTGAAAAATCGACAAACTTTTACAGAGGCCTAAAAAATCCACCATCCTACGAAATGAAACAAATCAATGAACAGGAAAAGACTTATGAAAAAATCGAACAAGAAAGCACAAGCATATCCTTTTCTGATTTTTGTATGCGTTTGAATCGAATAATTTTGTTTGAACAAAACTAATCTAATTCAACTTTGCGTCATAGGTACACCGGCGGCGAAAAAAGCAATTAAAATTGCTATGGTTATAGGAGCATTAAATCAGTTTTGCGGTGCGTTTTCCATGTTGAATTATGCCAACGACATTTTCAAAAAAGCGGGATCGACTTTGAGTCCAGAAAAAGCATCAGTCATTGTTTGCATTGTACAATTGACGGCAAATTTTCTCGGTATAGTTTTTATAAGTTCGTTCGGTTAAATAAAACTCATAAATTTTACATATTTATTTACAGCGATGGCGCTTGTAGATCGGGCAGGCCGTAAATTATTGATGACAATTTCAGCGTTTGGAACCGCTTTTGGCTTAATCTCTATGGGCCTGTACGATTTGTATAAAGATAATTTATCTGAATATAGATGGATTCCAATTGCGTCATTCTCAACGATCATTCTTATCGGTATAGTTTTTAAAAGGATCGATTCAATTTACCACAACACTAACACATTTCACTTATTTATTTACAGCTTCCATGGGCATGGTAAAGTTTTGATATTGATTTTTTTTTTCGGTTCCATTAAATTTATACATTTTACCTGTTTATTTACAGCTGCCATTAACATACGTCATCTTGAGTGAAATTATGCCAAAGAAGGTAAATTTTGTTCTTAACGACTAAATCAGAATATATATTTTTAAAATTGAAAGACAATTTCAAAATTAATCAATGGTTTTTTTAAGATCAAAAACATGGTCATACTGTTGGCCTTGGAGATCATGTGGTTCTTGGCGTTTATTCTTGTCTCATTTTATCCAACGTTGACGGATACGATTGGAACATATAACTGTATGTTTATGTTTGCAACATGCTGCATTCTTGGTGGCATATTTTATTTGATAGTTCTACCAGAAACCAAAGGAAAGTCATATGAAGAAATTATGCAATTGCTGGCCAAGTAGAGTTTTTTTAGGTAGTTAGAAATGTGGAAAAAATATAACATAATTCACGTATTTTAATTTATATTTTGCAAAAATGTAGTTTTATTCATAGCATATTAAAATTCTCTATAAAACTTTTTTTCTTTTTTTTTATCAACTAAATCAATTAAATATGAATTATACTCGTATGTCACTATATTGTTTGCCAACGCATAAATATTTTTATAGAACAAAATCCTGTTCGATTTTTATTTTCATAGCAAAATACGGCAAATTAGGAACAAAAATCAACAAAATGTTTTTGTTTCAACATATTTTATGACATGTATCTGTTTCTTATGATAGTTATTTCAGCAAAGCAGGATAACACAATGCATTCATTAAAACCCAAGTAGTCAACACTTATTGTGTTTTATTTAAAATTTAAAATTGGAAGTGTTTGTTTAAACAATATTGGAAAACTTAAACTCTTTGATATTTCTTTTTTTTTTTGAATTTGTGTATCACATTTTAAAGAAGAAGGTTTAGCTTGTTTGCGGGCTTTTCGAATTGGATATTTTGATGTATATGCGATATTTACAATATGACATGGTTATTATCGCGATTAAAATGCATCGACTCAAACTAAATATATATAAAATTCCATCGTTCAATTTATAATCTTTTCTTTTTCTCTTTATATTTATATACAATACATTCTACTTAACGTATTCTCTTAAAGTGAATATTTACACATTTGTTTTTTCTGATTAAAATCTATGATTTAAAATTCATCTCTTTCTACTATCTGCTTGTGTGATAGATAAAAGATGTCACGCTTTTGTTTCATTAAAATCAGTTAAAATAAATGTTATGCTGTGTGAACGAATGGATTTATCTTGATGATTTATCTGTACAATTTGCATAGTCGAATTGATTTCGAAAAAATAGTGCAGTTAAATTGTACGAATAAGAACAAATCTTTCGATATCTGTTTCTGATATGAGATGTGTTTTTTTACGTTTCTCCTGTGTGTATGTATTTTGGACTTTGTTGCATGCATTCAATCCAATCGATATGTTTTGTTTTTGATGCTGATTGAGAATTTATTGTTCGCACTATTATTAGCTAACTGTTAGTGCTTTTTTCTTGCGCTGTACTAAGATGTCGTAAAATGGATTATGTGAAATGGATGCATTTAAACACTTTATCCACTCTTGTTTGTCTTCTTCAGTTGCAGCAGACATACGGTACACGGAATGTTTTCCTTCAACAACCTGCGATTGAAACGATTTATAAAAAAATTAGTAAAATGAACGCTCTCACACACACATTGACATTTTATTGTTACCTTTCCTTCCGAATCAGTTTTACATGCTTTTATAATATCTGCACCGCCCCCAGCATACAGCTCAAAACAATAAGGTTTACTGCGGTCGTGAATTTCTCGCACCTATTTGAAAGAATAAAACATGAGATCTCGATACGAAAATATTGAATTCAATCAACTGTATTCGACTATAAAACAAGATATATTTACCAAAATATTTTCTAATGGAATAATGCCTCTTGGCTCTTTGTCGGTTGTGTATTCGAAGTAATATAAGCAATTGTCATTCAAAATGAACCATCTTCGTTTCCACGATTTGTATCTGGCATAAGATGAAAAATGCAATTAAGACGTTAGTTAATTCGATTTGAATTTAAAGCAATTTTACAAGTTTAAAATGTAATCCAACATAAAATTGCATAACAACATTATGTAGATAATTGGTAATTTACCTGCCGCCTTGTTTCCACAACCATCCCTCCTTGTCGGGATTGAAGAAGGTGTGCATTAAATCGTTGCCATCGTCTTGTGGTATTTTAAATGGTTCGGTTCGTATTGACTCATACAATGATACCAGTAATTCACGTGGTAAATCGCCGCCATTATTGATACCACGATTCATTGAAATAAATTGCTCAACACTTGGCTTATCCTTAACGGATGGATTGTGCAATGATGTATTTAACATGATTATGGCAAAACTAAGTACATAACATGTATCCGTATTTGTGAATATATCCGTATTTAATTGACAATAGCGCTGTGCAAAACATTCCATCATTCGATCAATCTTTTGTGCTTCGCCCGGCAAACGAAACGACCAAAGAAATTGTCTACAGACATGAATTATGAAGGAAAAAAACACCAGATTCATTTGTTAGTTCAAAACAAAACATTCTTGAAACAAAACAAGTTTTAAGATAAGTTGCCAGTTTATTGTTACCTTAAAGCCTGCACCAAAATGAGATTGGTAAAGTCATGCAAATCAACAAATGCCTTCAGAACCTGTTCGTTGAAGTCATTTTTTTCACCGAGATAATCGCCTGGAATAAAAACCGAATATTTATTATTATGTTAATATTGGTGATGCGCAATACGAGAATTGAAACAATCGTCAATTCTTCCCACATGAATTATGATGGAACTTACCGATAGCGGTTTTATTCAAACCTTCGCCTTTGTATAAGAAATGGGCAACGTCGCTTGCGTCCATTTGGAGCAGATTGTTTTCACACAAGTACTCTATGCCTGTGAATTGAATAAAACCCATTAAATATAATGTCATCAAAATGAGTACAAAAGTATAACGTTAATGCAACAACACAGGCTGTCATACACAGATTCTATATTGAATGCCATAAACATAAGCTGATGCCACAATGAATGACACACAGTGTTTCACTATTATCCGAGTTAATTTTCAAATAATTTAAATGAAATCATAACATTTACTACTTCCGAAAACGTTTCATAAATCTTTTACTTATTTGCAGCTTTATTCAAATATAAATAGTTTATTCAATGACAAAAATAGCATTCAATTTACATAGGAAAAAGAAACTTGATTTTCGTAGAAGACGATTGCATGAATAATAATTGATAAGGAAGTAAATAATTTACGCTCAAGGAAAAAATCAATGAAATACCGACCGGACTCTTAATTTCTTCTTCTTTTATCATAAAATGCTTAAAGTGATTCTGTGTTGTACAAGTACAAACACTTCTGATCAACTGCAATGACATAATAAAAGCGAACCGCATCTTTTCTCATTAAATTTTTATTCGCTCATAGATTATGCAATATGATGGTATAAAGTTTCGGTGTTTGTGATTCAGTATGTAAATCAAGAGCGTAACGGATATGAAAATTGAGAATGATTTTTTTTTTTTTTTTTTGAGAAAAGACCGAAACCATAGGATAGCAATTTGGTGTGAAAACATTGAATACAAATGCTCTAGACATGGTGTGTTCGTATAAATAATCCAGTTGACTAAAGCGAAACAAAATATTATACATTTATAACTGCATGTAGGCAGCAGAGATTATTATCGCTTCCGAATGAGATTTGGGAATTCGATGTGAAATTGGAGGATTTGATGGGTAAAATTTTCGTTAATATGGAAATTAGTGTTGTGGTTTAACTGACATGGATATATATTACATTCGGATATGTTTATTATAATGATTGACAGGTGTATCGGGCCGGTCATTGGTTTTAAACCAATTTTTTTAATGGCTATGGGGTTACGAGAAAAACCATACGACTGATGAGGTCTGTTTTGGTTGATTACTTTTTCAGTTCCGTTTCAAATCTTGACATATTACAGCAAAGCATCATGACAATGATATCTAGGCAAAGCAATAACTTCATTGCGTTTATATTAGGCGAACCAAAATTGTGCCAATTTTTGTTTCGTTGGCATCCCGTAAAAACCGCACCAATGACGCTGCTGTCACCTTTGCTTGTCATCGTTGTACTTTGGATTGTAGTAAAATCTCCCAACAAGTGATCCCCTACATAAGCGACCAGCCTGTCGATAGTGAGAATATTTTCCACATGGAAATATTGCCAATGAACCTCCGTATAGAGGAAAATTTACCTCTCGATAGTGGAAAAAAAATCATCCGAAGCGATTCCATTATGGAGAGGTTTTACTGTACTTTACAACGCATCAAAAGATTAAACCAAATTTCCCAACGAATTCTTTCTCTCTCCACGACCACAAAAACACAACAAATAAATAAATAAATATGTTGAACTAGAGTTTTTAATTTAAAAATCCAATGAGATTGATAGATATGTGTGATATCATGAGTTTGATTAATAGTACATCGTAAACATGATACAAAATGACATCAATTAGACACTGTTGTCCACATTGTAACGACTGGTTAGCTAAATTGTGTTGGGCATTTGTCAGTTAACACGTTTCGTAAATGTAAATAATATCGAATTGGAGAGTTCAAAGCGTGACGCAATGCCGTGTGTTGTTCTATGTCATTTACTATAGGCATTTTCGTTATTTTCACTCTGACAAGTAAAACACAATGTTTATAAAGATAAATGTATTCATGGTCCTGTCCATTCACATAAACAAATGTTCATCAATATGAAATAAGAATATTTCAAAGTAAAATATTGAATATTTTCTGCTAGAGTCTGTGGATTTTATTTTTTAAGCACATAATTATAATAGAAATTGAGCGAGAATCATTAATTTATACGGTCGGTGTATACAAAATTTGATGCCAAAATTTTAATCGCACAAAACACAGACACATACGCTTCGTGTGCAGTAAATCTCATCAACAAAGGAATTTGATCATGTTTTTGCGTCGTCTTCAATTCATCCTAACGACCACTGGCTTATTTTTAATCTAGTAGCTATGTAAATGCGGACAAAGAATGACGTTGTTTTATTTCTTTTTTCTACTACGACGCTCGCATCTATTTTGAGTTAGAGAGTATTTTGTGTGTGAAGAAGCTTCTCATACCAATACAAACTAATACATTGAAATGCGAGCAATCATTTCAAATATTTTTGCGCATTCTGCGATACGGTCGTAAGATGCTAAATATATCGTTTTTACAACACAGCCAGTACCGTTCGTTGTTTTAGCCATGCGTCACATTGGTTGAAAAGAGAGAAAGATAGATAGAAAAAGTGGTGTATATACGAGAAGAAAAAAGTGAGCTATGAAACTCAATTTATATTAGACGCTTGAAATGACAAAAGAGAACCCAAATGCAAGAGAAAAATAATCAATTTTCGGCTGCATAAATATTGTTGCTTCATTGAAGAAGAAAGCCACGAATCACCGACCTGCTACTTTTATTTCAATAGAGCAATTTAAAGCAATTGGATTGTTTATGTCATAAGAGATTTTATTGTGTAAGCGCGATGATTGTTTGCATTCAGTTGAAAGCACTTTGAGCCAAAATACACAATTCATTCGCGTGAAATTTAATTGAAATTCGTTTCATATCTTCTATACAGATCATGATATAATTCGATGTCAATATTATGATCTAAAATTAGTGTTTCGTTCAATCTTCGCCAAGATAAAATCTTTTTAAAAAATGTTCATACCTTTCTTCGGGTCCATATTGAATTTCTTTCGGCCAATTGACATCTGCTTATCTTTATTGGAATGTTTGCAGTCTTCTTGTAAGTCTAATGCATCCATAACTTCACATAGCTCATCCTTGATTTGCTGCGCATTTCAAAACAACAGACAGAAAATATAAATTAATTTGACGGAATTTCAAAAGCGATGAAGATGTGAAAAAATTTAAATAACAAAGATGTCTGGTTCTGTTTGCTTGTGTCGATGAACGATTAAGAAAAAATATTGAATTTTTGAATGAATGTACCTTTCTATGAACGCTAATATTCCAGTCGGACTTCGATTTCGACTGTTGTTTCTGCTGTTGTTGTTGTGTTTTACATGTTGCACATGATTTTGGTAATTTTGGCAAAGTATTAAAATACATGCTAGTATTTTCAAGTGAACCAAAGTTGCTTTCAATACCACCACTGCCGCCGATATCACTAAGACTAGATGAAGTGTCAATAAATTCAATGTCATCGTCTAAATTCAAGCTGCTCGATTTGAACGGTTGACGATTCGTAATGCTATTGATACTGGCACTTTTTTTACACGATGTACCGCTATCGTTATCACCAACACTAATATAACTAAATGCTGTTTTTCCCTTTGTCTTTGCATCAGTATCCACATGACATTTGTCGGCGACAGTGTCATCAAATCGAACCGTTGTTGCGCTGTAATTATTCGATTGCGAGACGCTGTTATTATTAAAAACTATATTTGGTTGACTACCACTGCTACAACTGCTTGCACTGTCATTTTTAATGATGTTACTTCGAAAACTATTCGCATAATTTTTGTATACATCTAAATTGGTGATTAATTGGCCATCGTCGTCGAATATAGTGCCGATACGATTGATACGATTATTTGTTGCGTTCGACGATGCTGTTGTGATCATAGTGGTTTTTGTAGTGACTTTTGTTATTGTTGTTATCGTTTGGCCTTTATTCGATTCATTGCATGAGCTGCTTGAACTGCCATTACTTCGATTGCTTGTAATGCTATATGTGCGCGATTTCAACGATGTATTCGGTGGTTGTGGTGATTTTGGTGCATCATTCGAATCAAGTGAATTCGATTTCGTTCCATTGGCCAACGACTTTAATGGCGATAAACAGAAATAATTATCACGAAAGAAACCATTTTTCAGTTTTGGACTATTTGTAACAGATGCTGGCAATGATTTCACATCGTTCGGTATCGATGATAAGTCAACGCAACTTTTTTGCAAATGCTTCTTTGACGCTAACACTTTCTTCGGTTTTGGTTGTCGTCGCAACGATGAAAACCACGTGGAAACACTCGGTTTCCGTTCCGTTGACATGATAATGCCGTTTTATTTTCTTTTTTCTTCTTGATTATATAAATATTATGACTTTTAGCAAATTGCTTCCGGATGTAATTTTAGTTTCACTTTGATTTTATCTTTTTCTCTTTAGCAGCTATATAGAAATATATAAATATATCGTCCAATTAAATTGAAAACTCGTCGTCGTATTATTGCACGTCTAATTGAATATGTTCTGTCATGTTCAAATTTTTCAATTCCTTCTTTTCAACATAAAAAACGCTTCATTACGTCATAAGAGAAAATTGTGTATAAAATGCAAACTGGCACGTTATTGTAGAACGATGCTTGTCTCGTGCTTTATAAACCTTTTCATTATTTGTCATTTATTAGTCATTCCATTCAATTCACATGTTTATTTGTTTGTACATTGTCGTTTGCGTCGCTATCGTTTGCTGTTTATGCTGTACTCAATGTATCTCTGTACGACGTTTATCTTTCACGTTACTAGTAATTGCTTCAGTGTGTTGACTATATATTTAATAAATGACTCGTACGCTGACTAAGGCGTTTTCTTCGACAGCCAACGTGTTTCAATCAGTCTCGGCTACATTCAGAACAGACAAGATAATATTGATATTATAATTCGTTATCAAAATGGTTGTGTGAATTTCTCGTATGTGGTTTCCATTCCGATTATTATACCAAATGACGATTGCAAATCTATTGTTTGGAGTAAACAGGGCCACCCTGTACCATGTAAACATGAGCAGCATTGTGAATTTTAACTTAAATCGATGATTCATTGTGGTATGCATATTGCCCACCGTATCACTCTTTTTCTTCGTAAAAATATGTCGAATCATATGCCGATTTAATTCAAACTTATTTTACGTTCATAACACAGACGTGTTGCGAGCTAAAAAGAATTCTTATGGAATTTCGAAATGATTGTTCCATTTTAGGTAAAATATTGAGCTATTTGGTCAGGTGTTTTATTAGATGATTTATTCATCTCAAGCATTTGCCAAAAGTAGATAGTAAATAAACATACTTTATCATCATTTTGGAAAGTTCACCAACTTCCGTTCGAAAGATGCAAGTAGATGCCAGACGAAAAAGATGTGGAAAAATTCCAAAGTATTTTACTTTCTTCGACAGAAAAAAGTCAAACAATGCAACGCAGTAAATCCTTAGTAAAATTCCAGTTCAAAATGGTGTACATATTCTTTGTATGGATAAGACGATGAATATTATAAAAATATTGACATTCTCTCTATCGCTTAGAAGTATAAAAATGCTTTTTTTTCATTTTGTTAAATCTTTCAGACACCGCAAGTAATATTTTTACATTTAAATGAGAAAATCATGCACATCGACACAATTCAATTGTTTTTTGTTGTTATTTTTTCTGTTTTATCGTATTCGACGAGAAGAAGTTGAATCATCAACATGAACAAGCTTCACAGCGAACGTTTGTTATGGGTGCAATGTTTCTGGAATAAAATTACTTTTATATTGTTTTTAAGTACGTGTGTATGCGGTTTTTTAAATCGATTGGTATGAGTCACTTATAAAATGGAGGGTCAATTGGTGTATTATGTCTCGATAAAGATGTAACAATCGAACTTGAGCATTTAAATGAAGCGAAAGTTCTTTGAATGTAAAATTCCATCTTTAATTCGCTTCCAAACTTTTTAAAGTAAATTAATTTCACATTGCCAATTCTCTAGCTTACAAAAGACAGCATTAGCATCCATTTCCACAGAAATTTAATTCGAAAAGAAAAGTCGAATTTAAAAGAAATCTAATCCCATGTATGGGTTCCTAAACTTTGACAGTGGCAAAGTAACTTTTAATGAAATTTCGATGCTACTGTCAATCAGTAATCGTATTGGCATAGTAACCGGGATTTATTTGAACAATGTGCATTTGCAAAAGCATGTTCGTTTCTCAAGCTAAATGCGGTTTTTCTCTCAATTTTCTGATCACGAATCAGATTCATAAATAATTTCAAATTATGTCAGCTTCTTTGTTGAATTCTTTGCATGACTCTCTGAACTATACTTTGAGATAATTGAATTAGAGCATTGTTTGAAGCATAGGATTTCGATTGAGTAACTCAATTCAGTCGGAAAGATGGAATGTGTACGACTTTCATTGAAGTACATTTATTTGCTGTGGTAGTTTTCTTCTTTACTAGAATTGTTTCGTTGGCTTCGGAATACTGTTTTCACGAAATCGAAATTAAGTTTCTGTTTGCGTATGATGGAAGTTTTGGCTAGATACTTTGCAATAGTTATTCATCCCAAATAAATGAATCAGCACATTGATGATAAAGGATACATAGTTTGATTGGGCGGAATTTTCATTTTCCGGCCAACATTTTTTTTTTCGTTTAATTTTCATTTGTTCATGCATAATTTATACAGTGATTGCAAAAGAAAAATCAATATCTTTGAAAAAGTCAATACTCATTGCGATGTTTCAAATGGTAACAGTTGACTCATACCGAATAACTAAATGAAAGTGAAAGGAACAAAGGTTGACTGAAGAAAATCGATATTTATCGCATTTATTTTTGGCTAACGGGTTAGCGTTCATCTTTCAAGAGTTCAAATATGGCTGCGTTCGTGCGAAAAGTGTGCACGTTTTAGTTGAAAAAAAAAAATCGTTGATGAAGCGCAAAAAGGGTCACGTAAATGACATTTATTTAGTTTTTATTTGTCGACGAGCACATTTCCGTCTCTCAGTGTAATCAAAAGATATCTTTATTTTGGGGAGTGTTTTGTTTACGATTCGTGGAGAATTCGCATTTTACCCAAACAACAATGTACCGCGTACCGGTAGGTGATTCAATGAATTATATCATTATAATTAACTGCTGAAGGTCGAAGGATTAAATAAGAGGGCCTCTTTATCTACGAATATCTATTTCGAAATGGTTGTATCCATGCAAATGTTCGACTATTTAGGTGGCTTTTGGAAACACAGTAGAATTAGCAAAACATTTGAAGAACATTCGGACCAAATGGACGATCAAAGTAAATGTATGCAAATAAGATGACATAAAACCTTCGCATCGTTCATAATCCGGAAAGACTGAAATCCGAGTTATAGGATAGTTTTACATTTGATTATTACACTTTAAGCAATGGGCTACTTTGACAAATCGAATTTAATCAGAAAGCGTCCATTGTAAAATCTATGCAAATGGTAAGGTTTAGTGTGGCTAAAGTTCGTCATTTTAAAATAATGTTGAGACTTATCGTTACTTCCCTAGTTATGTTCGAATATATATGTATATGCCGAGCATGATAAAATATTTTGATCGTAATATAACGAAATGCGTCATTTCAGTGTCCCTGAGAACGTTAGCAATCCACAGATTGGGTTTGGAGACGATTTAAAAAGATTAAATGTGAAAATCCTTCGCTCACCTGTAGAAGAACGGACAACTCATTTGCGTTAATTGCTGTGAAAAATGACGGTTGCAGCAACGTCAACACTCCGAAAAACTCATTACTTTCACATCAAATACAGACGTTTTGATAAAATATCTGAATGCGAAAAATGAGTTTCGCATTCAGTTGTTGAAAATAACAGTGATTCGGTACCTTTTATTATGCTCATTCTGTGAACCATGCTTTGAAAAGCGTTTTTTACTTTTCCGCACACACCTAGTGTGTAAGGTAAAGTATTGGAATCGGTCGAAAAATTAACACCCATCAAAAATGTGTTTTCTGGGTGTTTTTGGGGCCAAGGAATACGAATCTAGCGTTTTTTCGATGTCCGAATGTATGTGCGTACCCTGTACCCTGTACGCTGTACCCTGTACGCAAAAATTTGTTAACACGATAACTTTCAAACAAGAAAAGTAATTCAAAATCTGACTTCACAGGATGATTGGGGGTGCCGAGGAATAGAAACCATTAGATTTTGAGCGACTTTGGTTGACAGGGTAAAGTGTCATGTCTGGTGTGATGCCCATGTCCATCCATGGGAAAAATTCAATTTTTCTTCCAAAAGTGATATTTAATGTATTCCTAAACACTCAAAAATGTGTATTGGGGAGTTTTTGGGTACGAGAAAACCGAATATGACGTTAGTTTTGCGATACAATTCATTTTCGACACACTTTTCATACAAAAATTTCAAAAAATTTGGATTTTTGTATGGAAGCCATGCCTGTATGATATCGTAATGAGCTGAAACTTTGCACAGGTTATTTTTATCACACATAAATACCATTCCGAAAGTTTGAAGACATTTCAACGCATATTAGGGGCACCTCCCCAACAAAATTTTGGATTTTTCGCTCTAAAACGAAATTTTGTATGGGAAGTACCCTTAATATGCATTGAAATTTCTTCAAACTTTCAGAATATTAACTTTTTGTGAAAAAAATAACCTCTGCAAATTTTCACATGATTACGATATCATATAGGCATGGCTCCGATACAAAAATTCCCATCTTTAGTAGTTTTTGTAAGAAAAGTGCTTCGAAAATTATTTTTATCTAAAACTAATGTCAGATTTAGTTTTCTCGTGAATTATTTGAGTAAAAGATTTGTAATAAATGCATGTCGTGGATCACAGTGCGGAAAAGTTCATCTTACGGATGTAAGACATTTTATTTTTTTGTATTATTGTGCTGTGGATGGTTGGAAATTGCTTCTGAACATAGGTGTGACATCTGTGAATTTAAATTTCTCACAATACGCTTGAAATAACACTGAATATTTACAAAACTGTTGTAATACCGATTCGAAATTCTATTGCTGAAAAATAATTTATATTTCATTTGGAGATTTTGTGTACATTGTCACAGAATCTGATTTGTCTCCATATTTGCATAAACTAAATATACAAATTGCATGAAGATTGTAATAAATGCATGCACTTCTCGAATGGAATTGTCTTTGTTTTGTCAACTGCAACAAATTTGGTGTATGCGTTGCACACGTTATAAAACAAATGAATTTGGATCTTCAGAATCCTCTAGTAACACGAAAAACTGGGTGGGTTAGTCTATGTATGTTGGGTCTGAATATTGAATCCATTGTGCATGGAATCAAAAGCCATAGCGAACTTGATATACTTGATTTACACTGTGCGATGAATTAAATGAGCACAGATTAAGTCATACATATGCAAATGAATTTTGAAGCGCTAACAACAGGATGACAACGTTCCGCCGCAATGCCGAATTCATTCATTACAACCATGTGATTGTTATTTCATGGTGCATACACATCGATACTATAGATTTTCAAATATTACGACTTGGATCTGAATTTCAACAGAGATTGTTCGACACTATCGAATTATAATTCTCATCTAGTGCACAAAATTGAATTGTGTGCCAATCTCGAGAATAGAGACATCAATGAAACGTTACTCAATTAAAAATGTTGATATTGAAGCCAAATCAAAATTTTATGTCCCTACTATTATGTGTTCGCATACACTATTGCAATTTCTACACTCCAATACCCTTTGCGGCTAGTTAATCGATATCTGATCACACTAATTTACCTACAAATATCATGTTAACGGCGAATTATTTTATTTATACTATACAAGATCAAACATGTAACTTAAGTT